TTGTTGCTATTATTATAATTTAATTTTTCCTCAGTCTCTGAAATCATTTCTCTTTTTTGTGGGGGCTAAGTTAAAATGTTTTCCTAATAAAGTGATAATTCATATGTATACAACAAATCCATAGACAGCTTTGTATATTATGGAAAGCTCAGTGAATTCTGACCCAATCTTTATCTATAGATTCATATGGTTTTCATAGCATTTCAAAACACAAGAAGCATTTAGGAAAGGCTCAATTATTTCAGTAAGTCATCTGCTAAATGTGGATGACAATCAGTATTGCAAAGAAATTGGTGTTAGCTCACAAAATTCCCTGTAAAATGAGTTGAAAGAGAAGAAATTTTACCCAATATGTAACAGAAAAAAACATTGAAAATCAGCTAGAAATGCTGATTGCATTCTTGACCTCACTGGAAAGTAGAGGAAGTTCTTAGGGGCTCAAAGAGAGGAGAGAACTGAAACCAGAGAAGTCAAGGACTGAGGGAATTCCTACCAAAGATATCAGGAACATAGTCCTTGAATATAATGGCTTCCCAAGACAGGATATAAGGACTTGTTCAGGGTGGGAACTAAGATGTTTGCATAAATCTGGAACCCTGGACAGACCATACCAGCAAAGGAAAACAAGGAAGTTTGTCAAAGCTGGAGTTCAGATGGGAAAAAGAAATTTCTCCTCCAAATTATAAACATAGCCTCTCTTACATGGGTTTTGAGTTCAAATTTATATTAACTGATAGACTGAACATGAAGTGTAAGAAAAGGAAAAAAGGTCAAAGATTATGCTAAGGTACACAGTGCTCATCTTGAGTTAACTGGAAAAAATGTCATTGTCAATACAGACAGAGAAAGCTTCAAGTAGAGTTGGAGTAGGCAGAATATTGGGGGAGTTTGGTATTAGAAATTTTAATTTGAGATGCCTATCAGACACTGCAGTGGAGACATCTAGTATGCAGTTACATTTATGAGTCTGAAGTTCAGGAGAGAAGAATGGGTTAGAGGGAAACATTTGAGAGTAGTCTGTGGCAATGGGACTATAGAACTAGAAGAAACTGGGAGAAAATAAAGATGAGAGAAGTCCAAGAACTTACGGGATACTCTAATATGGAGACATCAAGGAGATAAGAAGCCCTAGAAGAAGAAGCAGGAAAATATATAATCACTACTTAGAGAATGCAAAAAGAGAAATGAATGAATTCAAAATAGCACCATAAATGTAGAAAATACTGAGGAATAAATTTAATAATAATAATGTGAGAAACATAAGAAACAGCTCATCTTTAAAAAAACACACCATATTACTTTTTGTCATTTTTGTTATAATTGATAAACTCTGGAATAGAAGTGATAGAGGGCAAGGGCACATGCAGTAATCCCAGCAGCTCTGGAGGCTGAGGTAGGAGGATCTCAAGTTCAAAGCCAGCAAAAATGAGGCACTAAGCAACTCAGTAAGGTCCTGTCTCTAAATAAAAATACAAAATAAGACTAAGGATGCGGCTCAGTGGTCGAGGGCCCCTGAGTTCAATCCCTGGTTCCCCCACCCCCATGCAAAAAAAAAAAAAAGTGATAGAGGATGAAGACATTAAAATGAGTGGGACAGATACATATTCCTGATACCAAAAGACTTGTAGGACAATAGTACATAATAAAGAACAAAAATAAGCCCAGCACAATGGCATACACCTGTAATCCCAGCAACTCCACACTGAGGCAGGAGGATCCCAAGTTCAAGGCCAGCCTCAGTAACTTGGCAAGATCCTGTCTCAAAATAAAAAATAAAAAGGGTTGGGGGCTTGGGATATAGCTCAGTTGGTAGAGTGCTTGCCTTGCATGCATAAGGCCCTGGGTTCAATTCCCAGCACCGAAAAAAAAGGGGGGGGGTGTTGGGAACCTACCTCATGGGTAGAGTGCCCTGGGTTCAGGCCCCACTATCAAAGTTACAAAAAAAGAAGAACAAAAATTATGAGGCAGGACAGAATTAACTGCATGAAGACATGTTTGTAATTTGGAATATTTAGTATATGTATGAAAGAAGGTCTGAAAGAATATGTAAAAAACTATGATCGGTGAATAACACATATGGCTGGCTTTAGTTCCTACCTTATAAATATCTGAATTTTTACTACAGCATATAAACATTGTTAACAAAGTTTAGAATTTTTAATAAAGTTTATGTGGTATATAATAGTGTAGAAACGAAGTTATAACATAGTGAATTTATAACATATATATGTATATATATATGTGTGTGTGTGTGTGTGTGTGTGTGTGTGTGTGTATAAAATAGTGTGGAAATGAAGTTATAACATAATGTTAAAGAAAGCAGAAATAAACATTTTACATGAAAACTTGACCAAGAGTATAACATGCATGCAAAACAGACTGGAAAGAAATTTGTCAAAAAAGTCAATTAAGAATATCTTTGGGTAGTAGCATTAGGTACTTTTTCCTTTTTTTAAAAAAATGCTCTCTATATTTCAAATTTTCTAGATTATAGTAATATTATCTTCATTTTTCCTTTTTATTATGGAAATATTCAAACAAAGAAAAAGTTTAATAAAATACTAGGTATCTATCAGGTTCAACAATTATCAAAATTGAGATCTACATGTGTCACCTTTCCCAACTTTTTGTTTTTTAATTTGCAACATTTTAAAGCAAACCTTAGATACCTCCTCACTCTTTTACATACTTAAGTTATATGTAACAATAATACTATTATTTCACCTAATGAAATTAAGAAAATTTCTTTAATGTCATCTAATATTTAACCCTTAAGGAATGATCTCTGATTGCCTAAAACATGTCTTTATGCAGTTAGTTCCTGTGAGTCGGAATCTAAACAAGGCCTCGTCTTTTATGGCTACAGAACTCTACTTCAGTAGTGTTATGGGCTGAGTTGTGCTACATCCCCAAAGTTTTATGTTGAAGTCCTAATCCCCAAGTACCTGATTTGAAGATCAGATCTCTACAGAGATAGTTAAGTTAAAATGGAGTTATTAGGGTGAGTCCTAATCCAGTTTGACTACACCCCTAGAAGAGGAGAAGGGGAAAGTGGAAACTAAGTGAAGACACCTTCATCATAGACTTTAGTCTCCAGAATTGTGAGAAAATAAATTTCTATTCTTTAAGCCACTCAATGTGCGCTACTTTGTTATGGCAGCAAAGCAAACTAATTCAATCAGTAAAGCCAGCATCTGTTCTGACTTTTTTCATGGATGATTGGCCTTGTCAAATTTATATTTAAATGGTGGTTGTGGGTACAGATGAAAAGCACATAAAATAATGCAGAGCTCTAGAAAGAGCTCATTGAATATTACTCATTCAACAAATGTTCATAAAGGATCAATTATTTGATAGATACCGTGGTAGATGCTGGGGATGGAGAAATTAAAATGCAATGCAATGAAAATATAATTTGTAGAATCAGTATCTAAAATCTAGTAGGGTGTAGCAGGAGTGGTCAGAGTTAAGTTAATCAACTAAAGATTCAAAGGATGGGCTGCATTTTGGAGAAGTAGGAGGGATTTTCAGGGAGAACAGACAATATGTGCAAGGTCCGGGGCATGAAATGGTACAAATTATCTTGCGGGCGCACATAATTTAATATATGGAGTGCCTAAAATTGAATGGTATACATAATTCAATATTGTATGACGTTAAAACAAGGAGCTGATGAGAGATGAAATTAGGCAAGATGGAGCATCTTGAATCCCAGGAAAAGTAATTAGATAGTCTGCTACAGATGGCCTTTTAACAATTTTCAGGAGGGTGTCTTTATTAGCTTTACATTTTTAGTTTGGTCATTCTGATAGGAGTCTGGAGAATGAAATTTAACAGTCAAAACTAGAGTGAGGGAACTGGGGAAAGGGGCTATCTTCCAATTACCTAGTGGGAAATGTTGAAAGCTGGCATTAGGCAGGGGCAGTTGCTATACACTGAGGATGTTAAAAAGGTAGAATGGACAAGATTTGTGTAAAAGATGTATTCGGGATACTGTAAAGCTATCTTACTAAAACACTGTGAGCTTTGTGGTGACTTAATGCAAAATAAAATTTAGAAGGGAAGTAGATTTAGAGTGAAAAATCAAAAAACTCTGTTTGGCATACATTGGATTGGTAATATTTCCCATTGTCTCCTGATAGAACTTTGGGAAACAGGTGAGATTTCTTTTGTAAGGTGTGTTGAGAATAGAAAAATTGGCTTCCAGAGAAATATACACAACTTTCTCCCAGTGCAAACGAAGCAACAGGTGATGGTGCACAACTATAACTGTAGAAAATGGCCTCTAATTCTTAAGAGTTGAGGAATAACGCAACTAGTATTTTTCCATCCTTGGTGACTCAGAGCTAAAGATGGCGCCTGTAGCAGAAATTAGCACGGGGGAGGGGGCGTTTTATGAAGAAAAGATGACGTTTTCATTTTTGTTTTCAACACATAGTGAGATATCTCAGCGCCTGGAGAATCATGGATGGTTTTCTTCCGCCAAGATTTTTGTGTGTAGTACAACTCTTCATTTTCCACGCTAAAAAGCTTGTTTCATTTTGTGGGCGCGATAGCGCGGGGGATGACAAGTCTTTTTCTTTGCTTCACGGTCTCATTCATTCGTGTTTCTTATTCAGGGAGGGTTCCACGACAGCCTGCCCGTCTGGCTTTCCCTCCTTGGTTTATCCCGGGCTCGTTACGGTTCTGAGGCGCACAGAGGGTACACCCGCGCATCCTGGGGTTTCCTTACCGCTCCAAGGGGAGCAGACTCTTACCCCTTCCAGAGCCGCGGGGGCGGCAGGCGCGCGCACGGCCCCGCAACGCGTGCCCGCCGACAGGCGGAGGACCCGCGGGTCCGCGCAGCGATGCAGCACTTCCGGGGCCTGCGCGGGGGCGGGGCGCAGAAAGGGCGCCCAGGCGCGGCCACGGTGCAGGCCAGGCGCGTGGGCAGCTCCGGTCGTCATGGGAACGGCGGCGTAGGCAGGCCTGACGTCAGCGAGCGGCGCGCGGCCCGCACTGCGGCACCCAGTCGGCTCTCAGAGCTTGGGACGTTGGCAGCCGGTCTGGCTGTGCAGCTGCCGCCCTCCGGCCCGCCCAGCTTGGCACTGGGTCTGCTTCTCACCGCACCAGCTGTCGGTTCGTTGGGAACCGATCGCTGAGCGCTCTCCTCTCCGTGAGTACCCAGAGGGTGCGCTGGTGGCGGGAGCCGGGAGCGGGCTCTCGGCTTGCCACGGGCTCCTGGAGGGGGGGCGGCGTGGGGGCTGCGCGAGGCCGAGAGCGCTGGGCCGCAGTGCGCCACCGCGGGCCGGCGCCAAGCGGGCACGGGATGCGATCCTAGATCCCCCGTACGTTTCAGGTCTTCTAGTCTGTGGAGCGGGGGATTGCAGTCATTGTCTTCCATACTCCAGCTCCTGGCTTGAACGCTTTGGAGCAGATACGTTCTAAATATGTTCGTTTCTTTTTAGAGGGGCAAGCTGGTACTGAAACGCCTTCTTTATTACATCTGAGAAAAGGTGATCCATATGTTACATTTATAAGAAAAGAGTGAAATTATGTTAATAGGGTCATTTAGGTGTGCCTAAAAATGGGGGGTGTAGTATATGGTAAGAATCCCCACTGAATGATTACACTGCATTTCAGGAGTACTGTGAAAATACAGCCGCCCCGCTTCCCCGAAAGGGATGCTAACAGATTTTTGACCTGTTGCATTAAGGATTGCTGTTATTGTTTGGGCTTTCTGAAAGAAGATTGCTTGTTATGGGGATTCAGGAAATTCTTTTAAAGGATTTTTGAAAGATATTAAGATACCAGAAGTGTTTTAAAACCATATTTAGAATCTCAGGTATTCACGAAGACTGTCGTTGATTTATTTTTTGAATTATGCACCCTGTGTTTTTGTTTCTTTTTTCCTTTACTGTAAAATTCCGAAGGACTAGATTATCCAATCCTCTCAGTTTTTTCTCCCCTTGGTCTTTAGTCTCATGCTGGGTGATAATCAGGTAGTCAGTGGAAAAAAAAAATGAGATGAAACGCAATCTAATTAATTTTTCTGCGTTGTGTGCCTTTGAAGCTCCTGTAAAAGACTTGGGATGGAGAAATTTTAAAATAAAGGCATATATGAGATGCAGGGATGTTTTATTAAATCTGGCCTTAATTTTTGCATAAATACATTACATTTAGAGATAATGTAAATACATAATTTATTTATTCTTAAAAATGCATGATATTGTATGCAATTTTATTCTTAAAATGCATGCATATTGTATGATTAAAATAATTTAATCATGTATTTTATTTATTAAATAATTATTAAATGAACATAAAGAAATTTTATGGAGCACTACCTGCATTGTGTGATTGTTTTCCTTTTTGATGTTTCCTTTTATCTTTACAATAAAAGTAGATGCCATTTTAATTTCCCAGGCAAGGAAAAACCAAGACTTAGGGAAATTCAGTAGCTTGCCTCAGACCACACATCAGTAGGTGACAGAACATGAGCTCACGTTGAGTCTTTTGGACTATAAAACCATTGTTTCTGCTTTTTTTTTTTTTAAATGGTGATACATAGATAAAGAGAGTACAGGTTTTGCTGTCCAAAAGCTAGCAGTTTGATGATGGTCACAGAACATTTACCAGGGTTAAAATTCAGGGCGGAAGTAAACCAATTGATTGATGAAGATCAAGGAATTTTAGCATTTCTTAGACTTTTCTGTTAGGGAATATAGATTTCCAGGGAACTGGAGCATTAACTAATAATGCCCAGTAGTTCAAAATATATGTGTTTTTTTTTACACAATTTTATTCTTAAAAATGCATGCATATTGTATTCTTACGTGGAAATTAATATATTCATTTTAGACTCATCCTCATCTTTAAATAAATTGACAGTTCAAGAATATATGTGCAGAATATACCCATGTGTTTGAGTAGCTCTGATGTAATATACCCTGAGATATTTATTTGAAAATGATGGCACAGATGCTTGTGCTAGTCTTCTTGATTATAGCAAAATTTTCAGTGGCAGATACAGAAATATTTAAATTACCTATGAATATGCTACCCACAAGCATATTTTATTAATATGATAATGTTTTGGGAAATCAAACCTGAGCTGGGGCTTGGTTTCTTAAAATCATGTTAAAATAGTCATTAATTTTTTAGAACACTTTAAAAAGTCTACTAACATACCAAGTTAGATGTTTACTGAATTTCTAATTTTTTTGGTTTCAAATAAAAAAATATTTTATTCATATATGATCCAGTTTACTTAACCTTATTGCAGGACCCTAAAATTAATTCAAATGTACTCAATTAATTTCCATAAAAATTGGGATAAGAGAGTATAGCTTTACTGGTGAAGTAGTGGCAATACCATGACATTACTTAAGTGAAGAATGTTTTAATTTTCATTTGGAACATCCATGTTATAAAAAATCCTCTTTGTTTTAATAGGATCCTGATTGAGTCAGTGTGTTACATTATTTCTCAATGCTTGCCATAAAGCTGAGCTATGCCCACTGGTAAGACTTTTATGAAATTTTTGTACAAAATTCATATTTTACACACTTGTTTTTAAATTTGGCTCATTTTAAGGGACTCTAACAGATTAATGAATAAAGTAAGTCTCATCAACCAAATATTGCTTTTAGAGAGGGTAATGAGTATTTTAGGTTTGGTCTCTGTGTGGAACTGATCAGCTCTTTTAAATCAAAAAAGTACCATAAGAATTCATAACAATGAGCATATCTGGTTTTAATAAAACATTATGTACAAAAGCAGATGACTAGCCTATAGGCCACAGTTTGACCATACCTGTTATGGGGCATTCATTCAGTCATTATTTTTTCACTTAAAGCATATTTATTGACCACCAAAGCTAGTAGCTAGGGATGTAAATATACACTACATAGTATGGTGGGAGAGAGAATTATTTATGTAGGTGTACGTAGACATATGTATATTATATATACATATATGTTCTAGTTGGGTTAAGTGCTACAAAGAAAAAGAATGGCTTTCTACACAAGAAACAGAAAAGTTTAAATGAGGTTGTCAGAAAGTGATCCATTTTAGAAGCAACATTTAAATAGCTTAACACAATGTAGAAGCAGCTCCGTTTGCATGAGAAGGAACTTATTTTGATGGAGGAGATAGAAGGTTGACATTATGGACAGGATGTAGGTAGGTATTTAAGGGGAGGTTTGTCTTGATTTGAAGCTGTCAGGAAGTGTACAACCCTTTAGGGCGTATGAAGGACTTGTTTTATTTTACCCTAAATTAAATTAAATCTGCAGGGAAATAGCATGATGTGATTTGTGTTTTAAAGGAAAAAATAACTTTTAATATTTGTCAAATGGTGACTATAGGCTAGAAATATGTTAGTCATTTTTCATGCCAAATGATCTTTGATAGAATTTTGATTTTACAGATAATATTAGAAAATGAAGTTTATAGATGTCTAAGGTCATACAAGTAACAGTGATAGATGCTACTATGCAAAGGAGATATTTAGAGGAAGTGACTAAAGAGGTAAGAGGTATATGGGTGAGAAGTCACCACAGCTAAAAGAAAAAAAATATTTTAAGAAGTAGGAATCATTCACTTGTTATAATATAGAGAACTCATGCAGGTATTCACAGACTATTTCTTAATATCATAGTAGTAAAGGTTTGTGTTACAGTAGAATTATTTAGAAAATGACATGAGTCTTTATCTTTTGTAGTTGAGAGTGAAGCCAAAGCAAAAACCAAAATTCGCTTTGAAGAATTACTTAAGACCCACAATGATCTAATTCGTGAAAGAAAAAAACTGAAGAAAAAACTTGCCAAATCTAGAGAAAACATCCCAGTGAGTAACTGATCATTTGGTTATGGTGACTTACGTATCTGAATAAAATTATGGCTTTCATATTAAAATTCTAAGGAACTTTGGAAATTAAAAACGTCCGTCATGATCCATAACACATGGTAAAATAAAGTTTACATTAGAATCAACATCATTCTTAGAGTCATTCTTAGAGTATTGAATAATGTCTTGAGTGCTGTCCTAAAAGAAGAACATAGGCGCACTGGCGAGGGTTACCAGAAACAATGAGGAAACTCAAAACTAGCCATATTACACATTTTTGAGGAAAACAAAGGTTTTTAAAACTCAGAATATGAAGAATGTTAGAAGTAATATCTACAGATAGTCAGTGACTTGTCTATATTTAGATTTAATCTAACTGATTCTTCTCAGAAGAAAATAGAGCAAATCAGTGGCCTTAAGTCAATAATTATCTTTTAATGCTTCAGCCACACATTTAAATAAAGAATTTTGGACAGCACACTTATGAAAGATACAGAATTTAAAGCAATACTAAAGCAAATCAGCAACTAACTAGCCTGATTCCTGTGGTATTATGAGAGTCTATAACAGCATCCACAGTAAACTGTTCATGTTTTACACCTATCTCACCATTTCTTTTGCACTTTCTCCTTTGAACATAATCTCTTGTGTTCTTACACATACACAAAAATAAGTCCTTGCGTGTCCTGCCAAGTGATACATAATTTTTCTCTGGAAAGAGCTTTTTTAATGAATGATATATCCTATATTCTGCTTGTATCAGATTTTACCCAATGTATATGTATGAAACCTGTGTAATTTAGTATTCTATTTGGTAGTCATCAGTGTACCAGTATATACTCTCAAGTGAGGCAAAATTAGTGTAACGCTGGCCAGAATCCAGCCACAGACAAGTACCGTTTATAGTAAGCTACAGTGTGCAGCATAGTAGAAAACAGTGATGTGCAGAATAGAACACTGTGTATTGGTACTTGCCCTCCCCTCAGGTGGGGATTTTATATTGCAACAAAGCGAAAAGAACCCTGGAAACAGTTGTCTGCAGAATGTTTTTATGAATTCACTTGGTTAAAGAAGAACCTCATATTTTCTTTCATTGTTGGAGAATTGGACTTTATGAGTTATGAGCAAGATGCAGTTTAGGCCAAGAATTCTTAATTAAGTGGATAATAAGATAATGAGCAGAAGTTATAAGGTCCATTTAAGATATTGAGGACATACAGGTATGAAGTAACATCATAATTTACCCAGCCTCTCTTAGCAAACACCAAACCTAAATAGACTTTGCATTCAGAAATAAGGATAATAGGTGGGGGAGAAAAATATTTTCTAGTTCAAAAGAAGGGAATATTCCTGGAGGGCTTAGAGGAAAACCAAATATTTCTGGAATTGTTAATCCCAGGAAGTAGAAGAGGAATACCCACTTTCATTTACTAGATAGCGCAGTGCTTTCTGTCTTTCAGGCTCTCTTCTATACATTTTTTAAGTGTTCACATACTTGCTACAAACAACAGAATGATAAAGATTTATCTCCATAGACCAGGAAACTACAGCATAGACTTGGAGTGTCTTGACAAAAGTAATGTAGTAAGTTGTAAAAACAGGGATTCAAATACTGACAGTCTGATTGTAGAGTGTACTCTTATCCACAATTCAGTGTTACCTCTTTTAATAAACGTTGAAGTGATAGCAACTCTTTGGAACAAGAACATGAATTTCTGTGAACATAACATAACAGACTGAGGTGAAAAAGGAAGCAGTCTGAAATAAAATTAAGCAAGGAAAAAAACCTGTAATAAAAGAATTTACAATAATGGCAGGTTTACCTTAGGTTCTAATTACATATCAGGCATGGTGATAAGAATTTTACAACAATTATTTCTTATAGTCGTGTTAATCATTCAGAGTTTTTGCACATGAGAAATTTTATTTTAAAAGATTTTAAATTGTTTGTCCACGTTGTATAGTCAGAAAACAAAAAAGTGGGATCTAGGACCATAGTCCCTCCAATTTTAAAGTCCATGTTCTTTCTTCATCTGCTTCCTTAAAACTATCTCAGGCCTAAACTAACGGAATTGGTACCATGAGAAAATCTAGTCAGTAATATGGGAGACAAACTTGAGGCACTCTCCATGGGAGAAATGGCCAAAACTGAAGTAAATAAGTAATGAGGATATATTTGACTTACAAATAAGTGTTCCCAGACAGTCCTCATGGAATAGAAACCAAAACAGCAATGATGAAGAAACCTGCCTGAGGTTAAGAAAAAAAGATCTTCAAAGACATGAGTCCATTTTGCATTCCAGGTATTTATGAGATGAGAACTGTATCTAGAAATGTTTTTGTTTTGTTTTTATTTCAGAAGAAAAATAAATTTTACAAATATCTAAACAAAAAAAGCATCAAGTACATTTCAGACTTCTCTAAAAACACTGACTCCAAAAGACAATGGGGAAATATCTATAGAGTATTGAGGGGAAAACTGACCCAAGAAGTCTAGTAACCTAAATTGTTAGTCATTTGCAAGGGCAGTAATCATATGAGCAGAGAGCTTAATGAGCTCCTGAAAAAAAATGACAAGCTATTAAAGATGTTATATTTGAAGATGTATATGATTATCAGAAATGAATAAAAGCATAGAAAACATAATCTGCAAATATTGAATGAACCTTGAATTCAGTTAAATATATAGAAATGTCTTATTATGTATATATATGCCAAAATTAAACCTAAAGATTTTTACTATATATGTATACAGCTGCTCCTTGATTTACAATTGTATTATGTCTCAGTGAACCCATAGTAAGTTGAAAATGCATTTAATACATCTAACCTACCAAATAGCTTAGCAGTACAGTCCACTATAGAGTGTCAGTTGTTAATCCCTTATGATTGTAGGGCTGACTGGAAACATACTGTACCATACATCACCAGATTGGAAAAGATTCAAATTTAAAATTGGAAGTACAGTTTCTACTGAATGAACATCTCTTTTGTACCATCATAAAGTAAAACAAAAACAAAATTGACTGTCTATATGATAATGTGAAATAACAGAATTAAATGGTTTCCAAAGATTGAGCAAAACATCCTCGCTTACAAAGGAAGGAAAAGTCATATAACTATTACTACTGCCTAGGGTATAGTTACAGTTTCATCCTATAATGTGAAATAATTAAAATAATATATAACATATAAAATGGATTATTGTACTTTTTGAGTCATTAGAAATCAGGCAAAATCACTGAAATTAGATTTTATAAGACAAAGAAAAGTAATGGAGTGAGAAATTTAAGAGCAAATATTTAGTCATGACATTAAATGTAAATAACTTAAGATTTCTATTTTAAAAAGTAGATTGTATAATAAATTTTTGAAGTAGTCACATTTTCCACTTGCAAGATTCATATACCAGACAAAATGACTATAAAGTTTAAAATAAAAGTGCAAAAATTTAGATGAAGAGCATTTAGAAACTTGGAGCTGTTGCCTTTATTGAAAGAATAAAAAATTCTAAATAAAATTTGAACAATTGAAATTGATCATGTTAAAAGAATTATCCAAGTCAACCTAATAGTTTCCCCTCAAATCTCAAGACTATCTTAATAAATGGATATTGGTACATAATTAAGAAGTTAGTACAAATAAATTGAATAAAAGCCATATGAGCATATAAAAATAACCAAGAAGAAATTATTTTAATTGGAAACAAAATAGTAATTTTTTTAAAAAAAACAAATATTTTATATTTATGTTTGTGAAAATTATGTTCCTTCAGATCCACATGTACACATGAAATACTGTGTAAGATTTTAGTAGTTTTCCATGGTTTCCTTTGAGGAGGAAGGATATATACTTCTATATACATCTAACCTTCATTTTTTTTTCCTTTACTATTAGGGCACATAGAAAAGATCTCTTTTCATTAAAACTAGTTAGTATCCTTGATATTTACATAATTACAAAATATGCTAGAGTATAAAACAAATAATGATAGTTTTGCTTTTATTAAAACTGATATTTTTGTGCAGCTACTTCATACCAGGCACCATACCAAATGCTTTCCATGCATTTATTAACTCACTTCATTCTCAAAGAATCTTAAAATTAGTATAGATTGGAGAACCAAGGCACCAGAGTTTCAGGAACTTAACTGGGTTCAGACAATTAAGGTGTAGGAATCCTGGTCCTTCTTATTCTGTATCTTGTAATCATGACAACTCTGCTCTACTGCCTCCCTATTTTGCTCTTGTATACTGTAGGCAAATGTATGTTCTCTTAGGAGAACAAATGGTCGTGGATAGTCTAAATGCTAATATTAGGAAACCTATGTGAATCAACTGAAAGGAAACAGGGTAGTAAATTAAAATAATTAGAGTGAGAAACAATATGAAGATATTGGAGAAGAAGGTACAGGAACTAATAGATAAATATCACATAGAAACTACAGAAACCCTGTAATGTTTTGAACAATCAATAAAAAAATGAAAATTAAAAAAAAAGAAACTACAGAAACCTCCAAAAGGTCTTAAAAATAAATTTTCCAAAAGTATAGATTCATAATGAAAAAAACTTGTAAATAATTGTTAGCACATATTACAGACTTAGACTTTATACTTACCAGTTTTCTTTAAGGTTTAGGTTTCACACTGTTGTCATAATCATCAGTGAACTTTTTTAGTTAACAAAATTAGACTAAAGTTAATGCAGAAGAATGAAAAAGGAAGATTTAACTTAAAAATTTAAAACAAGAAAAGGGATTATACTATTTCTAGATATTTCATTTTATTATAAATATAATTCAAGAAATAATATTGATAGGGATACTTTAAGTTTTGAAGAAAAAGTTCAATTAAAACCTCATTTTATATGACTAAATTTCATTTCAGACAGCTTAAAAAGTTAAATGTAAAAATCTAAATTAGTAGATAAATACTTAAATGAGAAAATAAAAATGACTAGCTGGTTTAATCTTCCTGTAAAGAAAGATATTCTGGACTTAA